CAATCGAGACTTCCGTTATTATCTATTTTTAAACTATGTGAGCAAGAACGACCAGCCCCTATCTAAATCTTACACAATGCATATTGAACTGAGAGTTAGTTGAAAATAACGCAAAAATACTCACAAATAAACGATCGTATCATTGTAGATGATATGTGGAATAAATCAGTCTTCAAAGATTTGGTTCATACTCCGGCAACTTTTTGAATTCTTAACCGCCCCATCAGAATGAATGACAAGAATCTAAAGAACATATTCTCTATATATGGCAAAGAGACACCAAGAAAAAATCTAATAACGTGGGATGTTGCGAATGTTCGCTTTGTTTCATACTTACATTGTCAAATGAATTATTTTTTCCCACTTTATAAAGAAGACTGGGGGGATTCTTTAGCTTTTCAGATGTTGCTATGCTACAGTTACTATGCGATGCTCCTTTGGATGTTAAGCTAACAATAGTGTTTGATTGAAGTACCTATGCATTGTGTTCATGATGAAAACAGTTTTGTATTTTAGAGACAGGCTGACAAAATTAAAAGAAACACAGACCAAAAAAGCCATTTTTAAAAAGGACGTGACGTGGGCAATGTTAGCTATCTTCATTATCTTCATTTTAGTTTCTCAGACAGAATGTGGTGCAAGGCCCCTAAACAATCCTTCCCACCTATTTTTTTTTTTTTATAGAGAAATACACTTTATATACATGTAGATATTACTGGACTTAATGTCACTGTATATATTCAACTGGAGGGAGCCTTGAATTTAAATTGAATAAATGACCTAGTTTGTGTCAAGTGGACGTTAAACCCCATCTCTCTCTCTCTCTCTCTCTCGCTCTCTCCAATTCTTTCTAATGTGGATACAAGTATCAAAATTGGCACACAAATAGTCCCTGGGGGCTAATCTTTTGAAAAAGACAATTATCCATGATGGAGGATATTATCGGGCAACGAAATATCATTTATTGAGATAAAATCACGCCAAATTGTCCTATTTATTTTAACTTTCATCCAAATCGGACAAAAATTATGGACTTAAAGGGGCCAAAAACCTTTGGACAGTTCACATTTGGCGTAAATGGCAAGAGTAAAAGAGAACTTATTTCGAATTCCAACTACCAAGGGCTCTTTTACACGCACGCGAATGTATACATTGGACCTTGTTTTTTTGTCCCATCCGACATATTCTTGTCAGGCCAGCAGTTCTTTACCACTCTGACAAGGGGAAATCACGCTGGAAAATACAGAGGAACATTTTAGGCCAACACCGCGAGCGAACTATTGAGCTCCTGGTTAGCGACCCAAAGACAGGGGCCATATTCCAAGAAAAAAACGGACACCTGGTGCAAGGCCCCTAAACAATCCTTCCCACCTATTTTTTTTTTTTTTTTAGAGAAATACACTTTATATACATGTAGATATTACTGGACTTAATGTCACTGTATATATTCAACTGGAGGGAGCCTTGAATTTAAATTGAATAAATGACCTAGTTTGTGTCAAGTGGACGTTAAACCCCATCTCTCTCTCTCTCTCTCTCGCTCTCTCCAATTCTTTCTAATGTGGATACAAGTATCAAAATTGGCACACAAATAGTCCCTGGGGGCTAATCTTTTGAAAAAGACAATTATCCATGATGGAGGATATTATCGGGCAACGAAATATCATTTATTGAGATAAAATCACGCCAAATTGTCCTATTTATTTTAACTTTCATCCAAATCGGACAAAAATTATGGACTTAAAGGGGCCAAAAACCTTTGGACAGTTCACATTTGGCGTAAATGGCAAGAGTAAAAGAGAACTTATTTCGAATTCCAACTACCAAGGGCTCTTTTACACGCACGCGAATGTATACATTGGACCTTGTTTTTTTGTCCCATCCGACATATTCTTGTCAGGCCAGCAGTTCTTTACCACTCTGACAAGGGGAAATCACGCTGGAAAATACAGAGGAACATTTTAGGCCAACACCGCGAGCGAACTATTGAGCTCCTGGTTAGCGACCCAAAGACAGGGGCCATATTCCAAGAAAAAAACGGACACCTGTGTAACTATTAGTGCTTGTATCACCGTGCTACGATATATCGAGAACTCAAAAATGAAATGAAAATAAAACAATGAGAAGTACTGATCAAATATGTATGGACTGCATCCAGTCCAATTTATCGCTAGTACCTGCCACATTGCCAAGTACAGGATGGGAGAGTGGGGGGGGGTCGTCTTTATTTAATTTAATCCTTATAAAATTAAGCCTTTAGTTGATTCGGTAGGTCGGCTCGGTTGCTAATTGCAAGCCGTTTCTAAAGCTGGAAACAATAGGTGACTACTGTCAATCATATCAAGAAACTTCTGATCCGTCGGCTCAGTCTTAAAACCCAACCCATCTAAAAATAAGACCTGGCATAATTTAATACATCAAATGATGTATCAGCATCAACCCAGTTAATAAAGGCGTGTTCACGAGGGAAATGTGGTTTGTGATATACATTATGTAAACTGGTAAACGTTATTCTTAGACGATAGCCACGTGGTATACGCTCACCTCTTATAACCTATTTACTACCAACCAAATTTGAAAAACTATTTGTTACAAACTAAAGCCTCTATCGCGTTTACATTGTTTCGGCAAAGAGATGGAAAACCCATGAACGGAAGAATGTGAATTATGAATATCGATAGGGATCGATGACCGAATACTTCAAGCGAAATATGAAAAAGATCCATATTCAAATAACTTTTATCTTGTTCACAAGGTTTTTCGGAAAAAAATCCGTATTCAAATGGCCTTTATCGCGTTCACAAGGTTTTTGGGAAAACGAAGGCATAACACCGGAACGGAAAGTCGCGGAACGCTGAATATCGATAGGGTTTATCCACTCATAACCCCAATGCTTCCCACCAAATTTGAAAGAAATCCGTTAAAAGCTATATATCACCAGAACGGAAAGTCCCGGTACACTGTATATCGATACGGTGTCCCTCTCATGACCACAATGCTTCACAACAAATTTGAAAACAATCCGTCGAAAACTGTAACCTATATCGCATTCACAAGGTTTTCGACAAAGGGGGGATTGCTACGGAGGAGAACATTGTGAAAATCCGATAAGGTTCATTCTTTCATGATCCCAATGCTTACAACCAAATTTGAAAAAAATTGTTGAAAAATGTAGCCTCTATCGCTATCACAATGTTTTCGGCAAAGGCGAAATAACCCCGTTCATGGCCAGAATGCTTCACACCGAAAAGTGTAGTCTATATCGCGTTCACAAGGTTTTTAGGAAAAGGGAATAACTCCGGCACAATAGTCGCGGAACGCTGAAAATCGATCGGATTCGCCCTCTCATAATCACGATGCTTCACGCCAAATTTGACTAGAATCCGTCGAAAACTACAGCCTCCGTCATAATGGTATATTCTTCTGTTGAATTATGTTAGACCTGCCTGAGGCGTTCGATCACTCAATTCGTGTAAGTAGGCGTTGACTTTGGAATTACGTAAAATACTTGTGTATGCATTTATGACAATACATGTAGCAGTCAAACCCAATGATCAAATACGAAGATAAGAGTGTAGATAAAGGGTTGATCAGCATTAACCAAGTATTGTTTTATTATTGTCTCGTTATATTTCATATTTTATCATTGCTTGATAAAGATCAGAGAAGCCAAGTAGAAACGACGATCAGTAATAAGCAGTAATTGTATTCCGAAAAATTGTTACCTGTGTTGTCTTTTTCTTATCAAGCTCCAAAACTTTGGAATAAACTCCCACTTGCTACTAGAAGAAGTCCCCCCCCCCCCCCCGGTTGAAACGTTAAAAAAATCCCTTAAGATTCATTTATTGTTAAAAGCATCTGAAAGTTAAGTATCTTTATTGACTCTTTTACGTGATGTTTATTTTACATTTCTGATATTTGTTAGAACTATTGATAGATATTTGTATGTTTGATTTTATTGAAGTGATATCATACTGTAACTTGTAGATCGTTCCCGAAGACTCGTGTGAAGGATGCTCGCTTTTTGTATAATAAATAAAACGCTATTGCCTTATCGGAAAGTTTCAAATCATAATACTCTTCCTTTCCGAAATGAATGCTAAAACGTCTTAATTTATCTGGGAGCCACGTTGGCTCAGTGAGTAATGCCCCGTGTATAAGTTGGCGTGAACATAAAAGAACCCTTGGCAGTTGGAATTCAATTGCTGTCCTGGCAAAATAGCCCCCATAGGACACATTATTGAGTATGTTAGTCCATAATATCCCGGATGGTACAGACAAGTAGGACGTTAAACCCCATTTCATTCATTCATTCTTAACCGGTCTGGCAAAAAAGTTATGACTGATAATGGATAGATCCCAGCATGCAAAACTATATCCTTAATCCTATACTCTTCTCAGCCCTTCTGCGGGTATAAATTGGGGGACAATATTGTAAAATTGTCTCGAAAGATACTCGAGTTGACGAAATGCTGACCTGATTCGGGCTTATACTGAGGCTATATATTATGAATGATTACCCAAGGTCTTTTAGACTTTTGTATGCCGGATATGTCAGGTATATAATGACTGATTATAGCTTATTTTGACTATTGTCACAATGTACCATCAATCTTCAAATAGCCGTATTAACAGACATATACTTTAATACATTATCACTTTCCACAAAAATAAATGTTGATAATGATATGTAATACCATATTCAATTAACTCATCTTCTTATCAAAGAACTAGGCAATGAAACGTATTTTTGATTCGATGCCATCCATATCAAATTTGCACACTTCCTGGTCGATTAAAGGGTTTCTATTGATTATGTGTCTTATTCCTGATATACTCGAAATCGCGTACTTCGTCGGGGAATTTTAGATAATGTTTACAGCGGGCGTAAAAAGCTGACAATCCGTTTAATGAACTATACACATGGGCATTAAAATGGAAAACAAAATTTTATTACTATAATTTTATTTCCGTTTATCAGTGAACCCTTTTTTAAGAACCACAACATTATCAATCAAACTTGACAATACCACTACTGTTGAATTACTACTGTTTATAAACATAATAGGACCATTGTTAGATCCATAAATTATTATTTTTAAAACTGTAAGGCGTATATATCGTGTTATTTCGTTAACTTAAATATATGTACCCGTAAACCAAAATAATTAAAAAAAAGTTTGCAGCTTCCAAAAACAACAAAACCTATATATAGTTTTAACTCTTTAAAGGTTTATAATGTATTTTTAATACCTTCAAGTGTTAACAATGATCATGTCTACCTTGACGCAATCAACAAGCAATAATATATTTACTTGGGGCTGGTTGTTCAAACATGGAGTTAACGGATCGTACGGAAAGAAAGTCTGTTTGACAAGGGCATTAGTCGGCTGCCAGTCGACCCTTAGCAAAAAGTCCTATAGTGTTTTCTGTAAATTCTACAGTTATCTTTTTGTCTTTAATCAAGTTTTGTGAACAGACTGCACAGTTGTCCCACTTTATTCATCGAATGTAAAAATTTGAAATTCAGCCAATGACCAATCAGTCTTCTCTTGGATTAACTTTAATCAGTCCTTTAGCTAACGGATAATGCAATTGCCTTTCCAGCAACAGAAATTTAACGGGCCGTTAACAACACGTCAGCAAGATAACGATCCTTTCGAGTTTAACGGATCGTTAAAATAGCCGAGTTTTGGCCATAATAGCCCCTTAACACCAACTGAATTTAACAAAACATAAATTCTTCTGGATGTGTTTGAATCGTCCCCAATACATCTAGTGTTATTCACCATTTTCCCCACAATACACATTGGTTTTACATCTCATTCTAATGAGCATATAATATTTCTCCAACATTTTGATACACTATTAGATATTGTCTCTATATCGTTTATTAGGATTTCCCAGCATTCAATAAATACATGTTTACATTTCGCGCCCACCTCTATTCGATCCTGTAGCAGTTATATGACAAAAGTAATGCAATCCGTCAAATGTTAACTTTTATATTATGTACAAAATGTTTCACGGGATTGTCACCAGACCGAAACTGTTTGCCCTTGGTGTACCGACGACACAGGGCAGATAAGACGTCACCATTTCGTAGGATTGACTGCAACCCCCGGCTTTATCTAACTCCAACTTGAAACATGACCACCACAAGCTGGTGAGCATTGCTGCCTAAAAAAAAAAAAAAAAAAAAATATAAGAATGTTATTAAGTCTTTGTACTAATCATGCATTGGGTTTTAATTATTATACGTGTACCATGGAATTACTGAGCAAGCTTGCTCTACCTAGGGATCTTTTACGTGCACACCTAAGTGTACACCGGTCCTCAGGTTTTGATCCCATTATGTATATAGATGCTGTTCCTTGCAAGGTCCTCCGTCCTGCACCGCTGAGATTGAACCTGGAATCTCCTGGTTGCAGAGCCAGCGCATTACTCAAAATGTTTTATTGGTTCATAAAAGTAGGATTTTAATAGTGCTAAGAACAGAAGTAATTTATGTAAAAATACACTTACACAACGTTGCATAGAAAATCACACCAGTTGAACTCTGGTAGTGGACTTGGGGCTGGTGTAGTAATGATTTGGATTGGTGACCCTGTTGTCACTGTTAGAAAATTCACCGTTGCTAAATTTAGTGAGAAAGCGCCCTTACTAACAGCCGGCCTACTTGGTGTCGTGGTTCCAGAGTTCACTGTACTTTCTCCCCTCGATTCATTTACCGAACCAGTTGGCTTTTGTAGGTCTAAAGATTCCAACATTGATGGTTCTCCTGATGCTACTGATGATGAATTTCCTGTTGCTGCTACTGATGATTTTACTGCTGCTATCGACGGCTCCCCTACTGCAGCTACTGACGATTCTCCTGATGCTACTGCAGATAGATCGTTTACAGTGTCTGTTATAGAGACATCATTCACAAACGAACTGGAAATATAATTAATACTTGAATCAAGTTGAATGATTCTTGAATCTCGCTGTTTGATTTCTAAGTCACTCATCGATTCTGTTGCTAATATCTGAACTCTAGATGGCAGTATTTGAGTACTTGATTGAAAACCATAGTCTGACGTTTCTATGACTATAGTATTTTGTATTTCCGTGGATGGTGTTGCGTAGTCTTTTGTCACAGTTCGGTTGATTTCAGTATTTGAAATGGGTATTTCAGCCAATTTTGCAATTGGCCGCTGGTCATTTTCAGGTTTTAAAGCTGACTTTGCGATATGAAATGAAGCTGAATTTAAAACCCGAATGCTACCATCTGAACTGTCTAGGCTGCCAAAAGTGGAAATCACCCCACTTGCATGGTCCTGGTTAAAAGAAGTTGAGACTTCTGTTGTGGATGCACTGTCTGGGTATACTTTAAAAGAAGATTCCACAACCAAATTTTCCGGGGATCTTTCTGCTTGTGATGTCGCGATGGTCTTGATTGCAACTGACTGTTTCTCAAATATTTTCTCTGCCAAAACCGTGTTTTCAAGCATAAGCGCATCTAACAAATTTGTTGGTTCTATCTTAATATCATTTGTTTCTGATACTGATTGTACATGACTCATTTGTATGGGATGTGCGCCAAAGGAATCAATTGAGTTACTTATATCATCATTATCATGAATGGTAGATGATGGTCTAAGTTCTGATTTGAGAGGGTTCAGAGTTCCATTAGGTAACACAACCGAGTCTTCAGATAGTACGTTTGATGTCTTGTTACTTGATCTGATTGATTTATGCCCCATGTTCTGTGCTGATGCACTTTGTTGCGGTTCAATTGTATTAACACGATTGCTGTCAACATAGATCACTGGCAAACCCAACTCGCTCGGGTTTTTGTGAATAGCATTGTTAGAAGATTTGTTTTCACTAGAGTTCGATTGCTTTTTTGAAATACTTAGTTCTTTGTTCCACAAATATTCAAATATTGATTGTCCATCTAATATTTCAAACGCATACTTTGGGTATTTGCTGCCAAGTTTCATTTTGTACAGTTTGTCTAGAGTGTCAGCTACCACTGGTTTTCCTAAATTCATAAAATTCACCCCCGTCTTTTGTATGTGTTTCAATAGCATTTCCTTCTTTAAAAGTTTATTTTTATTGTAAGCAGCAGTATTGCTGACTGCATTGTCGTTCGAGTCTGTGGTGTTCTTATTGACAACGTCCTCTAACACAAAATTGACTATCTCGTCTAATACATCATCGGTTGTATGGTTAACAGGCCCATCATTGTATATCTGTGTAGTATTTTTAGCGTCCTTAGTAACGGGCATACACGTGCTTGAATATATATCTAACAGAATCAAGGCAACACTGCAAAAAACTGTTCCCTTCATCTGAAAAACACAAGTACGAGCTATGTTAACAATAAAATAAAACCAAGTACGAACTATCCAAACCATTAGACAAAATTCCAAGTCCTAAAAAACGGTATAGGCAAAGTATGTTAACAATAAAATAAAACCAAGTACGAACTATCCAAACCATTAGACAAAATTCCAAGTCCTAAAAAACGGTATAGGCAAAGTAGTGTAATCAGCAAATGGACTGTTCACCGTGTACAAAATACACGACAAACAGTATGAAATAACAATAATACCGTGACTAGGATAATTCAGCACAAACACCATATTTACAATTGTATATCATATATTTGTGATCCATGCACCTTTAGGCGAAAAAAGGACAATCGGCCAAATCTGTGTCAGTGTCACAACATACATTTTAAACGATCTTTTTCAGAAGAAAAGTGTACACACAAATCTTGTTGCAGACACTGATGGAGTACAGAATTCATAACCTTGGTTCGAAATGGCACACACAGGCACTTCAAGGGAATTGAGACAATTGCGCAGAATGGAAATTTTATGTTAGGAGATTGGATGACGTATTTTGTACTTAATGAAACCCTTTTACGCCTTCGTGACGAAGAAAAATATAAAAATAACAAAACTACCCATCAGCAATATTTTACAATATACTCGCACGCTCTGTGAACAAATGTACCCCCAGGCTATTTTAAGCGCAAACCATAAAATAACAAAGCTTAAAAGCCTAATAACGTTCTTGTGAAAAGATTTATTTTAGTCGTAAAAATATACACTATTTCATTCAAGAATCATTTTAAAATGAATTACTTGTACTCAATGAACAGTTTAAAACCCGTGGAGAATCTACATTCAGATTTTAAGAATTGATTGAAGTAAAAGTTTAATAAACTTGAAATTAAATATGTATAATGCTTGGTAGGTAGAGAAGGATTACCTAGTTTAAACTTTAAACCCCATTTAATAATATAATATGTCATTCCAAATGTTCAGTCCGCTCACGGATGTAGGATTAAATCTTTTGTCTAGACTTGTACGTCTTATATTTGACTGCCCTAGATAGAATTTGGGAATAATTATCCTTCAGGCACAGCTCAAGCCAATCCAATATTTGGAGGTATTTTTAAATAATAAAAGCGACACATTCAAAAAATGAATATGCGAGACAAATTAATGTTGTCATATTTTGTAATTTGAGTTTAAAATTTAAAGAAAAATAACAGAAAAATAGCGATGAAGCAAATTAGCAATATAATCAAATGTCAATTAGGTTTTTGTATGTTGTACTACATTGATGCCGAACATATTTTCTTTGAGGCCGGTGTTCAAATTCTTGATGTTATAGACGTTTGAATTGTTAGCGTCTGTTCAAACCCTTTCAATTTAACCAGACAGAGACCTTTTTAGATTGGGATGAAAACATCCTCATCAATTAATTATAGACTCTTTGAGCGTTAACAATAATATGCTTCCTTAATATTTGTTTAAAATCAACAGTATTTGCGTAACCACTTTTTGTAAGTATATATTTGAAACACTCCAGATATATATATATACACGAAAAAAAATCATATTATGGAAGCTCTATACAAACTGGACACGTGGAGTAGAACTATATTAAACAATGTTACAGGCGTTAAAAAAACTTGTGCTTTCAGTGAATTGGTCTTAAAAATTATGATGTTTTGTGATTAGAGAAAAATATTCAACGTTAAAAAAACTTGTGGTTTCAGTGAATTGGTCTTAAAAATTATGATGTTTTGTGATTAGAGAAAAATATTCATCGTTAATAACCGTTTTACACAACAATTAATTGTTATTTCAATAAATAACAGAGCAGTTGAATAGGATGTGTAACTTGATTATATTATCGGTACGTATATTTGGGAACCACGTGGGTCCACTAAGCAATGAGTCGATTCCTGTGCTCGTCGAGAAAGTTCCTCGGATTTTAATTCACACTTGCTTGCTCATTCTTTCAGGCTATTATTTTGAACCTGACCCGAAAATTACTGCTGAATTTAAATCTATGTGGCCTAATTTTAAGAATTGGAAATTAAAATAAAATCTCTCAGTTACCTTTAAGTAATGCTCTACTGTAGAGTACCCGACACAGTATTCGTATACCCTCTAGAACTCATGGGAGAGCATCTCATTTGAAATGTATCTGAGGTACGTTTGTGGAAAACATGCACTTGTACATTTCTTAAAAGTGTGTTTTTACGTTGACCAATACTTGGCACACGATCTACGCCATAAATAAATTTGATTGATCAGCGCCAGATCAGAGAAGCCATTCCAAACTTTATTACAATAACTATGTCTTTGATATTTCAAAGGTACGACACAAGTATGGCATAATCTGAATTTTTTCAGTCCAGTCGTCAACAATGTACATTGATTGATTGTTAAACACGTAACTAAATTCCTGTTAAATCAGGTCAATCAGTCAATGTGCGTCATGATTTTGATATTGTTGATCATGGATTACCAGAATATGCGTGGACTAAAAATTCAGCAGTGCAATATTTGTTAGTTGGATGAACTATTCAATCGACAAATGTCAGTCATCAATAAGTGATATAGTCATCAGTGTATGTGTGGGGGAGTGGGAGGGATCCGCTGCTCTGTTGTTCTAATACATTGAAAAGGTTGATTTTCCTTGATATTTCTCTCTAAATGAGATATTTTACACACCAAAACATCGTTGTGGTACAGTTATAATACACATGGTTGTGTTGTTTTCTAATACATTAATACAAGTTTGTGTTTGTTTTGCATCAACAAAAACTTGTGTAAATCCTGTGTTTTGTTTCATAGTTTTAACACAAGTAATGTGTATGTTTCTATAATTACTAAATACGATGTGCTAAGTCGCTTTCTACTTTGTTATCTGTAATAATTTGATTTTTTATTTAAATACTATTTCTATTCAGGATATGGGGTTGGGGCAAGACCTAGCCTATGTAAAACCCCTCTCCCTGAATTTGAATTTTGGTGAATTCATTCCAACTTTAACTTGATTTCTGTAAGATCGTTCCGTTACTTTTCAGTGTATAAATTGAGAGTGCGATACCTGTAATGTCTCCTCTAAAACAACGTCTTTTATAAAGTATAATGAAATAGAGATAATTGTTTTAGTCGATTGTTATTTAATTATGAACTATTTAATTAATTATCTCTAAAAGTTTATTCTGATTATACGCGGTGTTTATTTTCACATCTTGTTTCAGACAATAAATAGACACAGTTACGCAATTACAATGTCAGCACTTGCAGTTGGATAATGGCATGAATGACTGCCAACTATGTATTATAGAGGAAGTTAATAAAATATATTATAGAGGAAGACTTTTATTATGTATGCATATTAAATTTTATAGGTTAACAGCTTGGCACTGTGGTTTTCAAATATGTTACCATTTAAAGAGTGAACAGAACACATATAGGCCATATAGACTGGATACACTTGCTGTTAGGTTATTTTGCTCTAGACTCATATAATGCTTGTGAGACTGACATCAGAGTGGTCATTCAGTGGGCAAATTGGTGATGCGTGTAAAAGATTACATAGCAATTTGAATTTGAAACAGGAATAGGCAATAATGCTGCCTGACTAAAATACTGTCCCTTGCACTTTCATTCACATGTAGTCATACATGTTAGTTTCAAAATGCAATCTTTTATTAAATAATGCTCTTGTCATTTCCTTCCCTAGACTCAGTATTTTACTTGTATTGTGCCATCTAAATAAATCCCCTGTGTCCGCGGAGAAGTAGCTAGTAAATATTGATACCAACCAAAGAAGGCAACCTTACATTCTCAATATAAAGCCATCAAATTCTTTTATAAATCTGAAAATACGACTTTTACTGTGGAAACTCAAAAGTTATCTGTCACCATTGCTTTCTTTAATGGATTTTCTGCTTAATGTCCAATACAGTGCCCTCTAAAGACATTGCTTTGCTGGATAGACTGCAGTGTATATGAGACCTTGGTTTGTTATCCCGCCACCACTGACATGGGGAACTATGCTGGAAAATCCAGAACTCTCTCAGCCAACACAGGGATCAAACAAGGACCTCCATGTAAGCTAGCCATCGCCTTACACTCACTGCAATACTGTGGACCCCCCTTGCTTATGTCTTGTATATAGATATTTTGTACATATTATTTATTATTTTCTCTTATATTTTTATTTCATTTTTTTTAATAACCTGTTATCTTGGTATTTTATTATTCAATTATTTAATTTACAAACGTATCATTTTATGTTTGGTTTTTTTTAATGATGAGAGGGTTTTATATTTTTTTTAAAATTTTGCAATAGTGCAAATTTCTTTGGTTAGTTGTTCTGTGTATGCTAGTTATTTCTAGATGCCTCACAAATCACTTGAATATAAATTTAAACCCTTATATTTCATTTGTTAGTTGCGCTTTTAAGTTTTTGAAATTCTTCAAATTTAGTGCTAAAATACAACACAAGCTTTTGTTGGTGGTTATAATGTAGTTTGTATGAAATAACCCTAGTTTCAGAAATTTGAACACAAGTTTCAGAAATTTTAACAGAAATTTGAACACAAGTTTCAGAAATTTTAACAGAAATTTGAACACAAGTTTCAGTAATTTGAACACAAGTAATGTGTAGATTTTCACACAAATTTCAACACAAATTTGTGTTATTTGACCAAATTTAACACGAATTTTTGTATTGGTTCAACATTGAATACAAGTTTGTGTGGTTTCAACACTAGTTTGTGTTATTAAATAGAGACACCTAAATTGTGTTGTTTCAACACAAGCTCTTTTTCTGTGTAGTAATTTATAGATTCTTAAGGGCTATTAATAGTGGCCTAAACACGCCCTTTTGTGTAGCAATTTCAGTTCCACTGTAAAATATGTAAGGATGCATACATGGGTCCCGTAGTTACGTGCCATCCATTTAATATTATCTACGCCGACATTTTAATTAGTGTCAATTACTCCGATTATGTCAGCTTGCTTTATTCATGCGCGATACATCTCTGTTGAACCCGAATAATACGTATTTATATATTTCGTGGCTAACATGATACAATTTAATTCCTAATATTTCACTTGCGATGAGGTGTCTTTTGGCGGAAAACGAGGGGCCGTAGAAACCCAAACGGTTGGATAGTCGTCCCTATAATAATATTATGTTTAAAAAAATATTTCGAGTGATAATAACAATATCTCGATGATAACCACCATCGTGTATTGATAAAAATTATATTTTATTCGTTTTTGATACCACCACACTTCACATTGATTTTAGCCGAAGCAAACTGGTTCAGATCAAGTTTTATACATACACCACGTGGAGTTGTATCCGATATTAATTTCAATATGAACGTAGCCTTGGACTTGGCATCTTCCAAATACAAAGTTGTGCGCTTGCCTGTGGACGACTACAACACAATAAACACGCACATGACCTGCATAAAAAACTGATTCTGTAAATGGGATTAAAATTCTCGAAACCTAGATTAAAGTGGCCACATTATCTGGGTTAAATACAGGTTAGTATCCTAACTTTAACCCTAGTCTCGAGAAGATCTAGATTTGATTACTGTACATTTTGAAAGAACTAATTTATATATTGCTTACAGAAATGCAAAACACAAAGAACGAGTATCGGATTACTGTAATGGAATTTTAGTATGTGGGCCGCGGAATCCGTCTTAGCTGAATGAGATCTGGATAATAATCTGATGCCAATTCTTATTAAACAATGCGGCTCGGGAAGTAAAATATCTGACTATTTAGGTCAAAATAAAAAGATTGTTCAATTAATTAAAACTGGGACCAAATACTGGAAATTAAATTTGAAATAAAAGTCTGTTGGAACTAATCACGAAGCGATATGGCTAATACAAATTAGATATCCTTACGGAATAAATAATTAATATTTAATCCTTTGCCTCGATGTTTGATAGAATTGATTCGTTGGATTTTAATCACGTACACACTTTGGGAGTTTTGAGGATGTTATTAATCTGTTGTAAAAATGCCGGTGTTACAAAACAGTAATACAAAAACAATAAAATGCGAAACAAATACGATTTCAAATTTAGACAAAAAATACTGATTAATCAATTGACTATTATATCTTTACCATAAAATTCTTTGTGACGTAACTATGTAAGGAATTCTAATAATACGGCGTTCGATTAATTAATTAATTAATATAACAGTTAATTGGAATCCAGTTATAAATTTTAAATCTTTGGAATTAGATAATTTATTATTTTTTTTAAATGTCAATGTGAAAATCGAAAATTTGGGTATTACGTAAGGTAGTATCGAAAATAGAAGTTCTACTACATATAACAAACTTGATTACATATTACTAGCAATTAAAATGGGATAACGAACCCTGGTTACACGTTACTAATTATTAAAATAGAGTAACGAACCTTGATTAGTAACGAACCTTGATTACATATTACTAGGAAATAAAATAAGATAACAAACATTGATTCCATATTACACCTTGATTACATATTACTAGTAAATGAAATAAGACGAAAAACCTTGATTACACATTACTATCTTCTTTGAGCGGCATTTAGTAATTAAAATAAGATAAAAACCCTTGATTACATATTACTAGTAATTAAAATAGGATAACAAACCTTGAAATTGTGTGGTGATCTGCGCACAAGATATATTCCAACCGATACGAGAAAAACAACAAATAAAAGTTAGTCATTGTCCATGAAAGACACGCGTCCAACAAACCCTCATTTAACGACTAGTAATTTATCTCAGCTAGTTTGTCTTTTATAAAACGCTCGAGGAAAATTGTACCTGTCAGTTTTTTGACGATAATAGCGCGCACATTAATCTAAGGTTAGCGCTTCTATTTATGTTGTTACAGCCGAACAAACAAAATGAGTTCATTATAAATTATCAAAAAGTCTCATGAAGTCAGTTTTATGATGAATATCATTTTCTTTTATAGGGTGGGTTTAACTGCGCTGTGCATTACGTCGTTTGGTACTGATCTCATAATATTTTAACTTAATCATGGAGCTTTTTTCCTTAGGGATGGGTGACGTCAGCTAAAAATTTAATTCACTAAAACAAACTACAATGCGACCTACAGACATAAGATTGTATGCCTCATAAAATTTTGAATTATATCCGGAGTTGGGTTTCTTAAAGCTATAAAGCTAAATATAAATCTGTCCTGTTCACGATATTATTTTTGAAACGTCCTTGGGCCTTTCCGAGAGCAAATTATAAAAGATACAATATGGTCTATATTACTAGTGATAACAATATATCTAGTATCATATATATATTTAGTTCACTGCACGTGAAAGACAGGTAACGCAAGTGGTGAGCGATGCTAGTATCTACTGTTAAAATAGCTGCATTTGTGACGAAATATCCAGGGCCCTGTTTCACGAAATTTTAACTAAAGATAAAATCCAAATTTTAGTAGATACTTCAATTTTGATTGGCTAAGCACTAAAATCAATCTAATATTATCCAATCAAATTACTAAAATTTGGATTTTATCTTAGTTAAAATTTCGTGAAACAGACCCCTGGGCCGGTTGTAGAAGTTACAGGATATGAATACATTGCAACAGCTGCGGGACCCCTTTCTAGTGTGCGGTCCAATTTGGGGAAATTGGTCAAAATAAATGAGCCAAAAACCGGCCCACGACTTATTCCACGCTATTAGATGCTCAGATGGATTATTATCCCGCGCCGAACGAAGTTAGGGAGGGATATTGAAATGGGGTTCGTCCGTCCGTCCGTCCGCTTTCGTTTCCGGAGCATATCTCATAAACCGTTCACGATATCTTTCTGAAACTTTGCACACACATCAACCTATTACAGTAGTTGTGCCTTTTGCCATTTAGGAATTTCTGAGATTTATATTTTTTGTGTTTCCATGGAAACAAATTTGACTTAGTTTTTGGTGTATAATTTTGTTTCCGGAGCATATCTCATAAACCGTTCAAGATATCTTTCTGAAACTTTGCACACACATCAACCTATTACAGTAGGTGTGCCTTTTGCCATTTAGGAATTTCTGGGATTGATATTTTGTGTGTTTCCATGGAAACCAAAATGACTTAGTTTTTGGTGTACAATTTGGTTTCCGGAGCATATCTCATAAACTGTTCAAGATATCTTTCTGAAACTTTGCACACACATCAACCTATTACAGTAGTTGTGCCTTTTGCTAATTAGGAATTTCTGGGATTTATATTTTTTGTGTTTCCATGGAAACACATTTGACTTAGTTTTTGGTGTACACTTTTGTTTCCGGAGCATATCTCATAAAACGTTCAACATATTTTTCTGAAACTTTGCACACACATCAACCCGTTACAGTAGTTGTGCCTTTTGCTATTTAGGAATTTCTGGGATTGATATTTTGTGTGTTTCCATGGAAACAAATTTTACTTAGTTTTTGGTGTACAATTTTGTTTCTGGAGCATATCTCATAAATCGTTCAAGATATCTTCATGGCACTTATTTTGAATTTCTCAGATTTGATAATTTTATGTGTTTCCATGGAAACAGATTTGACTGTTCAAGATACCTTTAAAATAATTTTACCCATTATTTTATTTTCTGAAATCCAGCCTTCCATCCTGATTTTGTTTCTGGAGCATATTTTATTATCTGTTCAAGAAATCTTTTTGAAACTTTGTACAAACATTAACCTATTATAGTATTTTATTTTCTGGTGTATAAGTTTATTGTTTAACATACAGCAGCTAATTGAGGTAGGCAAAGGTTACAGGGAGTAGCGACCCTGCCTTGCCGAGCTACTGTGATCAGAGTATGAAATTCTGTAAATTGATATTCCATGTGTCGGAATATGAGATTTGTCTAAAGCTCCAGTTCCCTCCACTTGCAAAATATCTATATTTTCTATGTAGTCATGTCTAATTTTTAAAACCAGAGCTTAATGTCATAAATTATCTCAAATCTTCTAGTAAATAGCAATCAGTCATTAGTTTTCAGAAATAGAGAGCAATATCTACTAAACAGGGCCACAATATTAGGACCAGTGACACTGTTTGCGAAATCTGATACATTTTTATATTGATTACCAATAGCATAAACAAGTTATTTTTCCTTATTTCTTTCAAACAAGTGCAAGGGCGCGGGATGTTGTTTAAAATTGAATTAAGACAAAATAATATTTTTTAAAAAAAACCTAGATAATCTCCCGCGAAACTTAAAGATGGAGTCGTCCAACAATAAAGGTGGTGATTAGGCTATTGTAGATTGCAAAATAGTGGAAAGTTCAACTTTAAAGAAAATTTTATGTTTACCATATAATAGATGTTGGCAGATTCTGACTAGAAAAAGAAACGAGAGAAGAGAATAAGAATCTATGGAGTGGCATAGATCAATCCAGTTTCAGTTTATTTTTTGTAAATACTGAACGGCAATGAACCATTTTCGAATACTATTCCTATTAGAGATTAACTTTTATAATCTTGGGGGTGGATGGCCAAATGGTTAGCACGTGCGTGCTGCATCATAAGATCTGTCATTGAATCAACTGGTGTGGTTTCGAATCCCCGGTTGTACGTGACAATGAGTAGGGTCACCTGTCCAACCGCGTTGGTTTTCTCCGGGTCCTCCGGTGTCCTCCCACTGCTAAAGACCACTACGCGCAAGCGAACTACTGAAATAAAATTGAACCATGTGTTAGTCCCGAAATGACATTGTGTCGAGTGGACTTTAAACCCCATCTCTCTCTCTCTCTCTTTATAATCTTGTTTGCAAAGCATTCGTATATCGCACGCCCAGGGACCGCAATGTCATCGTCATTACAGATATTTATTAATATTGTAGGCTAGTTTCTATCCCCAACGGCTGGATGTTGGAAGGCGTTGGATCTCGTAAGGCATTTTTATTCCTTTAAAAGCTATCCCCATTACACCAAAATATACAAAACAAATATAAATTCAGTATATCTGAAATTGAAAACTTTATTTTTATCATTGTTACTAGTATGCAATATACAACACAGAACCCCATTTTTATGTCCTCTTGATTTGTAGATATCGAAACACCACATATTGTAGGTGTGATTAGTTTTGTGCACAAAAAGCAGCAACCAAAAACTCTGTCCAGAGCTGCGCACACGTGCTTTAACCGTTAGAAGTGTAATGCTGCTATGAATTTTGATCGAACAATTATAAGGCTTGGCGGGCTTTTCGGTTCCACCCAATTAACACCACTAAACATCGCTTAAAGGACAATATTGGTGCCATTCATAATTAAATATGTGATAAAACTTGTTAAACACGTTCCAAATTATAATTTTAACACAAGAGATCATTGCTACGATAGATGGATAATCAAGTTTTTAATAAAAGGAAGTGACGAATACAAAAGGAAAACACGAGTTATCCTTCTATACAACTGACTGAAGTGACGAGTGATAACAGATACACGGGCGAATTTCTGCTCACTAATAATTCCTTCGAAGACCAAAAGTTGTTATATGTGACTGTGAGAAGATATCTGACAATTCAAAAAAGTAATTAAATGTTACTAGATAAGAGAACACGAGAAAAGTAGAAATAGTCCGTAGGGCGTGTATCTTATCACTTCAGTCAGTTATATAACTTGTATTTTCCTTTTGCGTTCGTTACTTTGGTTTGTCGAAACCTTGATTACGCATCTATCATAACAATGAGCTCTGTGTTAAAATTATATTTGGAACGTGTTAAACCAGCTCTATCACATATGTGATAATGACTGAGACCAATATCGTCCTTAAATATCTTATACTCAGGAGTCATTGCCCTGTAATTATATTTAGAACCGATATAGTATGAAAAGGTTATCGCATATAGCCACACCCCTGTCTTCTTAGTATAAATGGTTTATTACCTTCAACTGATCTGACTGTTTAAATTTGGGCATGATAGATTTCATTAATTGTAATAACTCCATATATATGAGTCACTGGAGAATATCTCCACTCTCAGCTGATGCCTACAGAAAGTGAACACATAAATACCTTTGTAGTAAAATGTTTAGGTCAAAGATTAAAGACAAGATGGACCTCATTTACTGGACATCAATTCCTAATTCATCCATGGCTATGGGACTCTCCCGAATTTCAAAGTCAGGAACGTGTCTAGACTTCTTCAGACGTCATGTGGGGACTTTGACAAGACAGCTGTGGCTCTGACAAACCTGTGAGAAGCCGAGTGCGTGTTAAAATGTAGATACTGTGTGCCATTTCAAGTTTTATTTATATTATAATTTTGTTTACATCATTCGGAATACAAAGAGCAAAGACGGCGTTCCCTAACAATACTGACAACGGGTAACAGAGCTATTTCTGGTTATACTATGGAACTCGTATATCTATAGATATCATTTCAGAATGCAAAGAAACATAGACACGGATATCTGTCTGATCTGGCCAGGCCAGCTAGTCAGTATCTTATGTTGTTAACCATAATGTTAGAGCTTTAACGCTGAGGAATCGTAATTACATGTATTTTTTTAATAGTGATACCATATAAACATATATACTAAACAGCAAAATAAAACGTCAGTACGATTTCAAAATCAGAGAAACACTTTAATCAAATCATTCTAGAAAACGACTTACTAAATGGATCAAATCAATTTTTTTGTGAACAGTATGTTGACACATTAGTGATTAATTCATCACAATTCCAAGACATTACGAGAAGATTTAAAGTCTGTACACAGTCTATACATCAGTATCTGGTGTGTCAA